CCGAGCCGGTGAGGGGCGTGCCCTGCGCAGCGCGGGGCGAGGGGCCGCGCGCGGGGAGCACCCCGAGAATTACAACCAGCCGCAGCGCCTCGAGGTGTGCCAGACCTGCTACCTCGGGGTCCCCAGTCCCATTTCACGGATGGGGAAACGGAGGCTGAGAGGTCTCAGAAGTAGTCCAAGATTTTACAGCGAGGAAGAAGTAAGACTCAGAACTCCTTCCTACTGCCGTTTGCTCCAGGCTGGGTGCGTTGAGGGATAGGGGTGGGCAGAGAGGTTGCGCGGGGTGGTGGTGGTGGTAATGGAGCTGAGCCAGGAGAATGTTGGAGGTTAGTACCCCCGCCCCACCCAAATCTCTAGTTCTTGCTGTTATAGAGGAGAAAATAGAGTCAGCTGGGGGGACAGCCACTTCTGGGAGTTGGGGTGAAGATAGGAGAGGGGTGGGTGGAAGGAACAATTTAGGAAGAGTGAGTGGTTCTTCCATGTGCTGGGGAAAGGATGTTTACAAGCTTACAACCCTACTGTTCCTTTCCTCCCTGTCAAAACTGATCAAAACTGATGTTCTCATCTGTTTGTTCTTTACTTCTGCAAACATCACCTGAGTGTGTCAGACGGTGGCTCCAGTGTTGACCTGGATCAGTCACTACCCTTAAGAAGCCCCCCAACCACAGACACAAGATTGAGGGGGATGGAGTGTGTCAAGACATGCAAATACCAACTATCTCCCCTCACCCCTGTCACCTGTTCCAGCCCAAACCCTTCAGCCTGGGAGCAGAATAGCCCTGCTGACTGCCTACAGAATGCCTTGTTTCCCCAGCACACTGACAAGGTGCCCCAAGAAAAACTCAAAACATTTAGCTAAGAAAGATGGAAGATGGCAGACTCCACCCTAGTCAATTAGAAGGAATAAGAGAGAGAAATCATGGAAATCGCTGTGGGGCGGAATATATGGTAAAGATGCTCAGACATGCTTAGAGGCTCTTAGAAATGCAGGTTCCCTGACACGGACTCGGGAGATTCTGATGAAGCAGGTCTGGAGCATGGTCCAGGATTGCATTTGTTGCATTATTGCAAATTCCTTGTGTACTTATTACAGGCTTGGCAAAACCCCAAAAAGTTGAATTGCAGAGACCTCCCCCAGAATCTGTCCGTAGAAAGCTCTTCCAGGCCCTCAGTCAGCCTGGAAGGTTCTGCCTGGGTCAGCTCCCTTCAACCAGAAAGACCCTAGAGAAGTAAGAGGAGTGACCACAGTCAGAGGAACAGGGAGGGTCAGGCCCAACTTCCCAGGCACATTACTGCCCCAGGGCCTTTGCATTTGCTGTTTCCTCTCCCCAGCAGGTACTTCCCCCAGGGATCTCCTTCAGCTCCTTTAGATGTTCACTCAAATATCACCCTATTTTAAATTGTTTTAAAAATCAAGCATACCCAAAAAACAAGAAAGGGCAAATTCAAAAATCAACATGAACAACAAAACCAAATAAAAACCTCTCACTCTATCCCACTTCATTTGTTTTACCACTGATCATCTAACGTGCCTTTTATTTAGTCTATTTATCTTTTTTATTGTCTGTCTCACCATCCCAACCTGCCCCCTCCTTCCCCCACCAACATAAGCTCCATTAGGGCAGGGATTTTTTTTTTCCTCTTTTGTTCATTGCTGTATCACCAGTTCCTGAAACAGGACATGAATGAATGAATGAGCAGGGGCAGCCCTCACCACCCACCCACAGCCTTGCCTCCTGCCTCTTGGGTGCTGAGCTGCACTCTCCTTACCCCAAGACATAGGCTTCTCTAGCCACGGCCCTACAGGAGTCCTGAACACCCTCCCTCAACCCACGCGCATCTCCACACTTGTCCCTAGTATCGTCAGCGTGCGTGCAGAACAGAAACTTGCTTGCTGTCAGCCAGACCCCAGAGGAGCCCAGGCCGGCCTCATGCCGGAGCAGCCCATGCCCCTGCTAGGCATTAGTCCACCTCTCAATGAGGAAATACTAAACCGAGAACAAAGCTGACATTCAGACTCTCTGAAGCAGAAATTGCCAAATCTTGATTGGACCCCTGGCTCCTCACAGGATGCCACAGGCATCTCAATGGGTGTGTGAAAGTCTTGAAACCTAATTCCGTGTCATCCATTTAAATTTCAAAACAGAAAATAAAATACTCCGATAACTTATGGCTTTATGACAGCATTTCCTGAGCTGAGTGAGAGTTGTACTCTGCAATGATGCAGTGTAAAAAATACTGCCCCTGGAAAAAAAAAAGATTTCTAGATTATATGGGCTTCTTGGTGATGCCTGGAATCACTCTTATTGAGCGCTGGGTGGCTCAGTACTGTATCTCGATCAGTATCGGAACCCTGGCATCTGAATGGCCGGGGTTCAGGTCCCAGCTCTCTTGTTCCCAGCTGTCCTCATGATACTGGAACGAGTAATGTTAACTCAGGTCTTCCCACCTGCCGGGCACCGTCCAGCACTTCCCTTGGATCATCTCAGCTAACCCTCACCATCACCCGAGGCAGCAGGTGTGTGTGAAACACCCAGACAGTGACCTCTGCAGAAATGTCATGATGAGCAGCATTCTTATTAAATTACTCCTGTTTTAACAGGAAAATAAGGCTGAAGAGACAGGGAGGTAGGTATGTGCCCGAGGTCACACAGCTAGAAAATCTGGCAGGATTTGAATCTGGATGAGTGTGACAAGAAGGCATTTCCCCCGGGGAATCCAGGTGACAGCTGTCACAACCACAAGACACCCATATTCACAACCTGCTTTCTTTCAGCTTGGAGCAGGCTGGGCTCCTGTTTGTCCTGAAAGCCGGGGAGTGACTGAGGTGTGGAGAGAAAGGGGGCTGAGGCCGAGAGGGGGCATCTGGGTCTTGTCATCACGCTGGCCGGTCACACACACTGGGCTTCCTTCCTGCAGGACCTCTGCCACAGTTTCCTTCTGTGGGCTGTCCTTGATGGGGGAGAGCCCACCCACTGCGCCCCCTCCCCAGACCTGCCTGTTGCTTTTTCCGGATGCCCCTTGCAGTCCAACAAGAAATGAATGCTGGCTTCCCGCAGGGGGAGGGAGGGAGGGAGGTCGCCCAGCCTCTGTGGATTAAAAGAGAGCCAGGGAAAGAGCTAGAAGAGGAGAGAAGAAAGAAAAAGAGAGAAAGAGCGAGCACAAAGAGCAGGAAGTGCCAGGCTGTTGAGCAGGGTGACACATGGGAGAGCAAAGGACCACGAGAGGATCCACAGTCCCGAAATAGCCTGACCCTATAGGCTGAGGAAATGCAGGTGGTTGCACACGTACACACACGCACACACAGACGCACAAAAGTACATTCAAACCGCAGAGGAAGAGCAGGTGAGTGAGGCCCTCTGTGGCCGTGCTCATCCCCGTCCCCTGGCAGAAAAATGGGAAAACACCCAGTTTTTTTTTCCCATAGGGACAATGCTGGTTTGGGACATTCACTTCTCTTGCCAAGCAAAGGCAGTTCCCTTGGTTCCTTGGGCTTTGCCGTGGAAATGAGTCTGTACATTCTGTTTGAGAACTGCAGGTGCAGGGTGCTGGTCCCGCCTCTGAGGGGCCTGGTTTCTCTCTGTTTGTTTGTTTATTTTCTGTCTGTGTCTCACTTCTCTCACGGGTAAAGTGGAGAGAGTTAGCAGCATCAACTGTAAAGATTAAACGGGTTAATGTGTGTGATTAGTTCTGCTTGTTTTTGAACTTCGTTGTAAATGGAACAATCAGATTCCGTTTGCTGCCTAGTTTCTTTCACCCGACGATGCGACGATGTGAGATTTGACCACGTTGTCCGAGGGAGCTGTGGTTCATTCATTCTCATCGCCTCACTGCATGGCACTGTACTGGTTATCTATTCTTGCAAAATAAATTATGGCAAAATTAGTGGCTTAGAACAACACACATTTCTCATGTCACAGTTTCCGTGGGTCAGGAATCCGGGCACTGCTTAGCTGGGTGCTCTGTTCAGGGTCTCCCAGGCTGCAGTCAGGGGGTGTGGCCAGGGCTGTGGTCTCATCTGGGGCTCAAATGGGGAAGGATCCACTTCCCGGTTCTTGTGGCATTTCGCAGGATTGAGTTCCCCCAGAGTTGTTAGTCTGGGAGCCTCACCTCCTCACTGGCTATTAGGCAGAGGTCCCCCGGTGTTTCTTGACACGTGGGCCTCTAATGAAGCGGCTTGTTTCATTAAAGCCAATGACAAATATCATATGATATCACTTACCTGTGGAATCTAAAAAATAGTACAAATGAACTTATTTACAAAACAGAAACAGACTCAAAGACATAGAAAACAAACATGGTTACCAGGGGGAAGAGGGGGAGGGATAAATTGGGAGGATAGAATTAACAGATGCACACTACCATATATAAAGTAAACAACAAAGGTTTACTATATAGTACAAGGAACTATATTCAATATCTGGTAATAAACTATAATGGAAAATAATTTTAAAAGGAATATATTACATATATATGTATAATCAAATCTCTTTGCTGTACACCTGAAACTAATACAATATTGTAAATCAACTATACTTCAATAAAATTTTTTTTTTAAAACAAAGGGCAATGAGAGTCAATAGAGAGAGTCTCCTGGCAAGATGGAAGTTACAGTCTTGTGTAGCATAATCACAGAAATGACATCCCCATCGCCTTTGTGGCTTTCTGTTGATGAGTAGTAAGATACAGTCCTGCCCACATTCAAGGGGCGGGAATGACACAGGGGTGTGAACACCAGGGGTCATTGGGGGCCACTGTATATTCCTATTGGTATGCACACGTGCACAGAGCTCTCGGGTACCCACCCAGGAGTAGAATTTCAGGGTCGTGCATACGTCCAGCTTCATGAGATTCTGCCAAACATTTCCCCAAAGTGCTGGTGCATCTCCACCGCCGCAGCAGGCCGGGAGCTTTGCCGTCAGAGCTCGTGCTTTCCGCATAATCACCCCCTCTCTCCTTGCAGAAGGGGGT